GAGCACATGTTCAGAACGAGCTTACTTTAATGGACTGCTAACACTGGCTATCTTGATGGTGCGGCATGCACGTTGTAAAATAACTGTGGAAGCCCGCAGTCAGCACGCGCTCAGCAGTCGCGCACACAGCTATGGCCGCTAGTGAATACCCCCTATTCACAGATTACTGACGCGGCTGCTTTCCTTGCCATGCATGCAAACTGGAGTTCTGGCAGCTGTCACGTTTTCGGGTGAGCAATTAGTTGCAACTACAAGCGTTGCGGAATAATTTTTGTACCGAATGGCCGGGATCCTTCTGGCTATGACAGATTGTAATGGCGTTGATTTCATCATCAGAGAATGAAAGAGAAAATGTGTGTGCGTGTGTGTGTGTGTGTGTGTGCGTGTGTGTGTAGCTGTTCGCCCTTCTATATAATGCAGTTCATACCTAGTAGATAAATAAATAGCCCAAAGTACGTCTGTCCGCACACGCAAGGACACGGAAGCGACATGATCGCCCCAGCTGCTTCCTTTGAAAGAGAACGAAATATATGAAGTTCTAAGTTTGCATTACAGTTTCATCCTCGTAGAATTAGTGCGACCAATGGCGGCCTGTAGCCACCAGAACAGTCTGCTAATCAAACTTAGCCAATGGCTGCCGGAAAAAAACGTAATAATACTTGAAATAGGTCAGAACATTACTGAGCTAAATTAATTGAAGTGGCGATATGGGCAAGTCGGTTCATGTCCGTAAGAAAGGGAGGAAGAGCAGAACAGGAAGACAGGGAGATTAACCTGGGGGGGAACTGTCCCGATTGACGACTTTGTGTAGGGAGTGGGGGATGGGAAGGCTAAAGGAGAGGTTTAAAGACGAGAGAAATAAGAAAATAAATCATAACCAACAAAACAGCGCACAAAAACACTAAGTCAAGCGAAAGGATTACACAAGACGAGCGCTGAACACAACCGGACTGAGCATCTGAAGACTCATTAGGCAGAAGAAACCTGACTACATCCACCACGCTGTAAAAGCAAACCGCTACGCTTCCTCCGCTCAATAACCTTACCCTTACTGTCGTCTGAAGCCTGCTAATGGCATGGAAATTAGTAGTGTTTTTTACCCATCGCGCTTTTTTTTAAATTTTTGTTAAGACGTAAATATGGAAACATGCGATCGATTAGCTGTCGCGAAGATGGGAAAATGGCCGACTCTAATGCCCTCGCACGGTGCGGCGGGGATGACAACAAAAGTAACAGCGATAACCGTATAGGGGCTCGTCACGGGTTTGGATTACAACTGGTGGCACGCATAGACATTACCGGGACTTAGTTTAGAACCAGAAATAGTGCATCTAAAGTTCAGTGAATAGCCACTTTTTAAACCGTAAATATCCCCCCTCCCCCGACAAAAAAAAAAAAAAAAAAGATTTGCTGGAAATTTATGGAAAGGTTTTCGCTATAGACGCTTTACACACGCGCCAAATTACAGCCGCCATTGCTGACCTTCTCTTGTCTTACCGAGATGCCGAGCAACTGAAACGGTAATTGACGGTCCTCTACAAAGGCCGATGCTTTAGAAAAGGACACAGTTGAATCTAAAATGGCAGTAACCTGGCCTGCTACGGTAATGATGAAGTGAAATAAACGAAATAAGAGGAAACAAAAACTGAAGGTCAGTTATGGCGGCGTCCATTCACAGCTGCTGCAAAGCGTCTATAGGGTGTTTTCGTTGCAGCCGGGGTTTCATCGTCATCTCAACCCGCTAAAAAAAAGAAAAAAAAAACGTGCTATGAAAATGCATTAAAGGGACACTGACAGGCTATTTATGCTCGCTGAGGTTTTTATTGGAGCATGAATTATAAAAACCCAGAACACAATTTGCGGCTCAAGATTCGTTTTCCTTCCGCCCAAAAACCGCCGGGGGAGAATTGGCCGGTTTCAAAAAAGTTGCAAATACGTTGATTGAAAAGAAGAAGAAATAAAACGTTTCACAGATCACAGGAAGTACAGGGAGTTTCCGAGAAACGAGAACAGTGTTCTGGCTTCACGCGGCGGTACCGTGCGTGCTTATTCATTCGGCGTTCGTTGCCATGGTGACGGCGAGGAAAGCAGACGAACTTTTTGATGCAGAAGAACGCTGCGGCGCAGCGATACCAGGTGCGTTCTAAGGCCCTTGCCGCATGCTTTTCAATGGGCGGAAGGCGAACAAAAAGAGTTCGAAATAAGGACTTAACGCAGAAGGCTGCATTTCTCCAGCGCCTCATAATTTGACGAGCCTTGCACGAAAATCATGTTTTTTTGGCCATCCCGCGTCCTGTCTTTTTTTTTATCCGGAACATGGGTCTAAAGTATCAAACTGCCCAGTGTTCTTCGGCTCGGGTAGATTAACTAAGCATCGCAGAAAGGCCGAACTCTGTGAAAATGTGACGCTAGCGTTTGGGATAAAACGCGAAAGTTTAGAATATGACGTGGCCTGGATCAAAAGATAATCGAGAAAAACAAAATTTCTCTATGAGCCGAGGTCCAGCTAAGCCTAATATTGTCAAAACGAGAGATGATACTGTGGGTGCCTATAGCATCTATTTCAGTGAGAAAAAGAAAGGTGTCAGCAAGAAAGAAACTATCCTCTTTCTTGTTGAGAATTTTTTTTATTAAAATAGATGTTACATGCTTCCCCCTCCCCCGTGTCATTCCGTATTTTAACGATATTAGGCCTAGGTGGACGCCGGCTCATAGAGAAATATGAAATTTAAAAGCGCTAACAAAGACGAGGACAAAAAGGAAGGCGAACAGGACGAGCGCTTACTCTCAACTGAACATTTATTTAAAAACAGCTAAAGCAAACAACCTGCGACAAAAAATACACTGAATCACTCAGTGGCGTCAGTCATCACCACGCGTCCATAAAATCACTCTCTTTTTGGTGCAGAAAAATTGACGGCTGGCTGACGCAGCCTTCAGTGCCCTCCTTCTTTATAGCGTGCGCTTCAAGCACTTCCCTCGCAGCTTTTTCACGAGACCTCCCCACGATCGTGGTATTTTGAAAGTTGGGCTGGCACAGACAGTCTCTGCAATGAAGAGGGAAGTGTCCTCCAGGTGTTGAGAGCAAAGCCAGGTCATGCTCGCGCATCCTCTCATTTACGCACCGTCCTGTTTGGCCGATATACAGCCTACCGCATGTCAGCGGTATTCTGTACACCACGCCCACGTTACAATCTACAAATCTTTTGGCATGATTGACGGTGCATAAGCGCGCGTCCTTCTTTTTTTCCTGAATCCGTGGGCATAATTGGGCCAACTTACATGGCGCCGAAAAGACAAGCGGCACATCAAATCTTTCTGCCACCTTTTTCAAGTTATGTGAAATTTTGTGCAAGTAGGGGACGACCTGAGGTCTCGTTTTTTTTTTTTTTCTTTTTTCTTTTTTACTCTTAAACTTGCCCTTGATCTTCTTCAGCAGCGTCTCGGCAACTCCAAGCAAAAGTGATGTTGGATAGCCGGCATCTCTAAGTCGACTAACCTGCCGGCTGAAGCTGTCACGCATAACATGGTGGCATTACTTCTGAAGTGCCGCCTGGAAACAAGACTCAGCAATACCCCTTTCTACTAATTTAGAATGTGCCAAATCATAGGCGAGGATTTCCTTTTTGGAGCGCGGGTGGTAACTCCAACTCACATGGTTTCCCGTGAACTGCAGTCTCAATTCTAGAACTTGGAGAAACTGGCCGTCCGGGAGTTCGTGAGTGAAATTTAAGCCATTTGAGTGGTCATGAAACACTTCTAACACACTTTCAACAACCTGGCGCGTCAAAAGGTTGTCAGAACGTTACCATAGCGCCAAATAGTCGTCCACATACCGGGCAACCTTACACACTTATTTTCCTTCCAAGCCAATCTGAACATTTCGGTCGAACTTGGCTAGGAAAATGTCACGAAGGACATTGGCGATGCAAGATCCTATACAAATACCTGCTTTTTGCACATAATAACTGCCCTCAAAAAGAATGAAGGTGGACTGCAGGTAAAATTTCAAAAGTTCCATAAAACCGCCCAACCCTACACCACAGGCATTTTGGAAGTGCCCATGGACAGACGCCGAGGGGCGCCGACAGACGCTAGTTTATGCCCATGGATCGTGCACGATGGGACGGATGCCGCTTCACATGAGCACGAAGTGGTCGCGTTTTGCGAGCGCTACTGGAGGCACCTCTTTTGTGGTTGTGTCTCGGGGACTCTACAGCGCCCCCTAGTCGAGAGAAAGAGGCATATACGACCCCATGGAGCCAATCAAGCAACGCGAAAAGCGCATCGTCCCGGCGCTCATCCCCTCTTTGCGTTTGCAATCACGCGCCGTAAATTCGCCGCGACCCTGCTCTTCTTTTTTTTTTTTTTTTTTTTTTTTTTTGTGCGTGATTTTTTTTTTTTTTTTTTTTTGCCGTTGATAGTTAGTTTACAAAAACGACGAGCACACTAAGCTTCAAAGTTTCGCGCGCCACGGCAAAAGTTAAACAGTCGCCGTACACGACGTGCGCGACCGAAAGCGTCGCTGTGGTCGGCCTTCCACGATTGGCCCAAAAGCTGACTATGACGTCGGAAAGGGTATACCATCGCCGGAAATAAGAGGAATGAAAGAACTTTAATTTCGACGGTGTTGGTAGTGTTGCTTTGAGAGCGCAATGATTTCATGCTTCCACCATGCTATTTACAAACACCATCGAACTTGTTGTTCGCAAGGTAACGACGTCACAAGGGGGAACCATAGGAGGGCGCCACCAAAACATCTCGCCGCTAATAGGCCCGTTCACACATGCAGCGGAGCGCTGCAAGCATAGCGCTAACCCCGCCCTAAGCCCGTGCTGACGGCAGCGTTCACCAGCTTTGTGTCGCACCGTCAAAACTGTTGCTCATGGCTTACGATAAGTAGCTGATGGCACGTGAGGAGCGCTACATCAGCGCTTCGCTGCATGTGAGAACCGGCCTTATGTGTTCGTCACTAAGATCTGACCCTTCATCATGTGCAGGAGGAAGAACAGCCGCTTGCGGGTGACCCGGCACCGGAGCCCCCTCCGCCTCCAGTGCCGAAGAGGCTACCCCCTTTGCCACGCTCTTCCTCGGCCGGTTGCATGACGTCGCGGGAGTACCCCGTGAGCCCGCCACCACGGAGACGCTACCTCAGCCCGGAGCGCCGACGTCGTGCCCTGCAGCTCAACAACGGCAACAAGGCCCCTAACGGCAGCGTCGCCAATGGCAGCATCGTCAATGGTCACATCGCCAGTGGCAACATTGTCAACGGCAACGCCGCCGGTAGCAACGGAATTCGCGACTTCAGAAGGAGTCCCGCCACGCTTCAGGACGCTCGAGACAGTTTCTTGAAGGAGCTAAGCTTCCAGAAGGCACCTCAGTCTTTCACTACGGGTTCCGTCGACAACCGCCTCTCGAACATTTCGAAGGTCTGTTTCGAAGACCAAGAACCGAGTGACGAAGAGGACCCGCTGTTTAAGCAAACATCCGACTTACAACAGGATCGAGACGCTTTTCCGAAACACGGCCAGCAGAGCGCTCTGCAAAGCGTCCAAGATTCCCAGTTCAGGAAAGGTCATACTGTGCGGAACGGAAACGGTTGTCACCATGAAGATGAAGATGACGGCTCGGGCAACAGTAGCGACAACCTTAAAATGACCGTTACCATCCGCACAGTGCCGGAGATGGGCAGCTTCCGGCGGAAGTCCGAATCAAGAAATTCCATCCACGTCGACTTTAGCGTTCGCGACGGTCACTCGTGCAACGGGAAGGGCGGGGGAGGTACCGTCACTACTTCCGGAGAAAACGGGACAGGGAACGTCCAAAGTTCGGGACTAACCCGAAGTCGAAGCCTCCGGGGTCAACGCAACCACCACGAAGACATTTCCAACTGCGATCGGCCGCGGAGAACCTGGGAAGACTTCTCGCCACCGCCACTGCCGCCGCGAAAAGCCAAGGAAGATGTCAACAGGAAACCACAGTTCTCCTCTTCACCCACCACCAAGAGGGTCACCTTCCAGATTGTTTCTCCACTAGAACCTCCCGCGGTTCAAGAGCCTCTCCAACCAGATGACACCGACACGACGCCAGAGGACACCTTCTTCACCAGGCCTCATCGGTCAGCGTCCGTTGGCAAATCAACCAAGCTGAACCCGGCCATTCGAAACGGATCTTCGTCGCCACCTAGCTACGGGGGGCTCGGCACCAACGGGAGGATCGACAGTAAGGACGCGAACAAGGAAAGCAAGACAAAGGACAGTGGCATTAACAGAAGGACGCAACTGGGACAACTGGACAAGGAACACATGGTCAAGTCGTCATCGTTCAGCGTGATGAGCAAGACGTTCGAGCCCCCGTCGTCGGTGAGCGACGTGTCGACGGACTGCTACAACGTGTACAACGTTCGCACGCGCAAGATCTCGTCCAGCGTGACCAAGCCTGACGTCCTCGGAGGAAGGGCCAGGTCCCCGCTAGAGTCGGTTCAGACGTCCAACGGTTCGGGCGTCGTGATCCGCAGGGAAGGGCAGTTCTCCAAGCTGAGGAACATGTCCCCTACCAGGGAGGCCGAGAAACTCATCGGCAAGATCATCTCCAGGTGAGTTCACGTCCTCCTCAGTATTTTAAATGAATACCCGTTTGAGTTGCTTAATTATTAGTACTTCCAACTGTAGCTTCCTGTCCCGCGCGATCTTCGCAGAAAAAAAGCGCACATCTTCATTACAAAGATATAGCCCACACTTCTTCCCTTATTTTCCTAGCGGGAAGGGAATAAATGCGAAAATACGAAGTGTCCTAGTGTTCGATTTGAGCAACGTTTGGACGCTTGTACAATTTTTATACTACTTTCAAAAGCCTCTAAACGTTCTTTCGCTTTATGGTTATCCTTTCCAACAAGACAAAGACATGCCCTTTACCAAGGGACTATCCATCACCTGACCCTTTTACCTCACATTTGAGACACTTACGTCAGCACTAATTTGGCGATGCTGAGGGAATAAGCACAGGGACGGTCAAACGGACCCATTTTTCGTGTCGTGAATTGTCCTTCCCTGTGTTCATTTTTTTCAGTTTTGTATAATTGCTACCATCAGGTTCCCTTTAATGTCATCACTTATTTCGTTCTGTAAAATATTGTAGTGCACAAAATTTCTTTTTTTAAATGCACGCATAAACGTTTCAGATTGGATTGATAGTTAGCCCTAATTAAAAACAAAGTAATATTATATGTCTAACGATGTACTAATGATGTAGCTAATTCCGGTCCGAGCTGTATTCATTATTTTAAAAGATCAAATTCTGTTATCCACACGACTGTTAATAAATCTCGTGGCTTAGCCCTGCCAAATACAAGTTTGCACAGGATAGTGTGAGGCGCGGCGGACGTCAATTTGTGTTTGAAAGATAAAAGAGTCACTATAAGAAAACACCTACCGCAATACGAGTTAGCGTTACGCACACACAAATGACAAGATTAGTTTTAATTTCGATGTCTATTTTTCTTGACTCTTCTTCCAGATGCAAGTCCGGTTCCGCCCTTGGCAACAAAGAGCGCAAGGCAGCGGTCGAGACGAGACAGGCACCGTCCCAGCCTCAGCAGCAACAGCAGCCGCTTCGGACGCTAAAGCTGACTCCGAGGCAGCAGCAGAGACACAGCAGGTGCACCAAGTGTGCTCTCGCACAGAGCAAGTGAACTGCTTCGTCGACGAGTGAATGTCACTCAAAGCCGGCGACTACAGCAACCACATGCGTGGAGTGACTGCTGGGCATGAAAGCTACACGTTCCCGAAGTTCCTAATGTTGGGAAGCGCCGAGGAACACAAAGGAATTCCAGCGAACATATGTGTGGTCGTGTCACGGGTGTATGGGACAACTATGCTTTGCTTGTGCTCGATTCCCACTAGAGCAACAAACGGAAAAAACCGACACCGAGCAACCTCAAGCACGTGCCGCATGCCCGCGAATGTATCTTTGGCAGGATTGTAGTCACTCGTGCTTATTTTACTAGCATCGAGTGACTGCAAACCTGCCCAAGATACCTTCGCGAGCATGCTGCAATCACGTGCTTAGGTTGGTCGGTGTCGGTTGGTATCTCGGTCTGCCGAGTTGGGGGGACTCGGGCATAGAGGGAGGCACCGTGACGCACGTGGGAGCACCGGTCTGACAGATACAAGTAATCACTAATCTAAACCAGAATATATGTATATTGTGACCTCGTGACCAAACTGTCCGGAGTGCATGTACCATAGATGAAAGTAGACTGAACGCGTAAGTTAAGTGTCTCAAAGCTGATTGAAAGAGCTGCGTTGAGCGCACTCCAACAAGTGACGGTACAAAGTGGCATAACGTTGTCGAACTGAGCCCGAATCAAAAATGGTGATCGTCGCAAGCCCAGTGTCTATGGACATAACGCTAACTCGAACAAAGCACTGGAGTGGTACACGTCACACGTGGTGCATCCAGCAAATGAGCGTCGCTCCTTGGTTCGAACTCCCGGGCGGCTTCAACAATGTGTACTTGTACATTAGATTATAATTAAAGCAACTCGAGATTCTTCAGACGGGGTTTTTGTGTTTGGTTTTGATCCTCTAAACAACGTGAGAACAAAAAAAAAACGCAAAAAAAAGGTAAGGAAGGGCTTCGAGTCGGCGCAGTTTGAGTGGAACTGAAATGCTCCGATACCCGTGTTTTTATAGGTACCCTTCTGGGTCAGCCTCCGGTCCTAGTTTTCTGTTGGTAGTCTCTGAAGGCTGGTCTATACCAATAACGAGTTTTAGCTAATCGTTTTTAAAGGCCCGATGCCGCTTCGGTTGCGCTTTTCCAAATTGTGTTTCGAAATGGCAGCGCGAGTTCCCATTACCGATTTTTTTCTATAAAAAAAACACGTGATCATCTAACGCTCCCTATTGGTCTCTACCAACAGTCTTTTGAGCCAATTTGTGAATTTCCATACCTTAAAGGGCAACTCCGCTTAATTTAAAAAATTTAGAGATAGTGGCCGATTTTGCTTTTTGAAGCACTCAAAAACAATCCCCAATCCTTTGTTTCGCGAAAAATAAAATATTTTTCGTGTAATTTTACTTTAGCCATGATCACAAAACGAAACCGAAACGGTGGCAAAGCCGGACAACATTGTATATTCGGCATCACTAAGCATGTACACCCACGTGATATACAAGGGGAAGAAGGAGCTCCCCTCTTATCAGGATCCTCCTTTGTGCCTCCTGGATTAGCACAGGCGTCGCTATTCTCCTCCCAGAAGATTATAGAAGATTAACCTGTCACTCAAAATTCTTACAAAAGCAGCTTCCCTCTCCTCCTTTTTACTTGGTGTTCAAAAGTATGCGATGTAACACAAGCCGCGCTCAACGAGGCGATCGGCTTATCAGTAGTATCAATAGTCGAGCGCCGGGCCGGCCGAGCGCGTCACTCACGTCTTTCACGGCGCTGGCGCCACCCGTGCTCTCCCCAAGAAAAAAAACAAAATTAAAAAAAAAGAAGAAGAAGCTGTACATGTTTGATGACGTCGCGGACGTGCCGGGAGAAGGAATTTGGAGGAAGCGGAAATGCAGCCGGGCAGTGTTGTCTGGTCCGCACGTCTCATCCAAAACCAGCGGATTCGTGCTTGTCAAACTTTGACAGCGATTTTAATGAACTTCTAGGCGGAATTCCGTCGTAATATTTGCCATGGGGGTTTTGTAGATGATAACAAAGAGAACTGTATCGTTTTGCACTACTAAAAAAGAAGCGGAGTTGCCCTTTAAGAGTACTATAGGAACAAATTTCGATATGATATCGACATATACAAATATATGCATATATATTTACTTATCTTTGGGGCGGGGGAAGGGGGAGGGGATTTTGCTGTCGATGGCCACTTTAGCTGTAGTCACTGGCACCTTAAGAATCACAGGGCGGCACCGGGCACGGAATCTTTCGATCATCCTATTATCACTCTGGAGTCAGTGAAATTAGCTTATAACTTCGCCGAAGAACGAATCACGGGAGCAAGACACGTGAAAACAACGCCACGCCTCGTGTTTTTAAACAGTGCCTCCCCTGTATACGGTGACCGCAGCGAGGTCGCACTCTTGCCGTCTCAAAAGGGAGCAACGAAACGGTCACCAGGGACGGTCACCAGGGGCCGCCACCTACCTCTGTCGGCATCGCAAGCGATCGCTCTTCCCGAGGCGTCTAACGAATGTGCTCTTGGCGGCTGATCCTTCTCGGCGCCGGTCGAGAACAAGGCAGCTCTTTTATGCCGCCCTCTAACTTCGGGCCCCCACCACCCCGCCCTAACCAACCAGCGGCGGCGACAGATCTCGCCGTATCTCGCGACAAATCACGAAACACCCCCGCCGCCCGCAGCACTGCACTCCGCTTCACCCCACGATGGACCGCTGCGGACGCTGTACGAGCCATCCGGCCAATCCAGCGCTGTGAACCTTCATCACGTGACTACGCACCCCCTAGCGTCGCCGCGCCCCTCAGGAAGGTCACGTGACACAAACATGGAACTAGATTGACTTTGATTGTCACGTAGAGTCCTCTGTGGCCCGCTGGATGATAAAAGAGCACAGAGTAGGCGCAAGAAAGAAAGAAAGCAGAGTACAGGAAGAAGAAGAAGGCAATAACCGAGAAAAAAAAAACACTTACCGCCGACCGAGACGAAGACCGTGACATCTCCGGCGCCTAACATAAATACGCGTCAGGGCAACATCAACGTCGTCGCGAACGCCACAAAGGAAAAGCGACACAAAGGCCTCACCGATTATTTATAGAGCGCCCGCAGAGGCCTTACCGCGCGGGGTGGGTCCACGAATGGCGGCGCGTGAGTTATGCCACACTGGACCCGAGAGTAGACACGTGCGTCACGTGATCGCAGAATTGACCGTGCTCTACTTCTCTCTCGCTCCCTCCGTTCATTCGGGGAACTGCGTGACACGAATGCTGAGCGCGGACACGTCGCCTGCGAGGGTGCGCATTCCTGGTTCCACGAGTGGCCCGACGGTGACGCGAAAAGTGGACGCCGGAGACTTGTCGCGGGGAGGACGCCACTAAAACCAGAAAGGGCTGCCGTGCCTGCTGCATGATCCCCGAAATAATGTGATCATTGCGATTTATTTGAGCCGGGCCATTTAATATTCGCGCGATTAGCGCTGGAGCGCTGCATAGTGTTGTTCATGCTCAGTGTGGAAGCAACTTCGCATTGCCCGAAACAAATTCTCGTAATGACCCCCCCCCCCCCCCCCCCCCCCCAATTCGCGTGGCTTCTTGCAATCACAATGGGTGGCACGAAGGGGACTTCACAATAGACCAGGATCGCGGAAATTTTTACAGCGATAGCTGTTAAGGACTCTTCCCACCTCTGGAAATGACGTCTGTTCTTGATGTTGTAGTTGCTCTCGTGTAGGGCGTAATTGAACCTGAGTCCCCAGCGTGTGAAGCTGAGGAGTTACCACAGCGCTACGCTACAGCTTTTATTTATTTAATACATAGAAATTATGTATACATATAGAAAATGAGTACATCAGTGTGGGCAATCGGTCCCTTATGTATACAAATGCACGAAGTGAAAAATATATTTAGATTGTGCATACATTACTTTGATTTCGTTTTGAACAAATCTTTGTTTTTGGTTGGCCAAAATTTTCAATAATCATTGTGTTTTTTTTGTGTGTGTGTGTGTGTTTTTTGTGGGTGTTTAGTTTGCATTAGCATCTTAGATCACACACTCACGGTCGGTTTACCTTTCTCAGGAATCTGGGGGCCCGAGACATGAATCGAACATAGAGAACCAATCTGGCTGGTTGAAATTTAAATGCATACACACCTCTTACTTTTGCTACTTGTTCTAATAATAGGGTCTTTGTTATGCGAGGTTTTTCTGCATGTCGGTCAATCATTCTGCATTTCCATAAACAATGAAGGCCAATTAGCGGGTACATATCGCACGGAGCTATTACGGAAGAAACCGAGGGCTGTTATCCATAAGAATAAGGTTGTTCCTAAGGGTACGTGTTGCACATGCCAGAATAAATAAGTGTCATTGCAACATATGAAACAATGCTCGATGGTTTCCGGTTTATTACATAATTGACAGTTTACAGTCCATGGGAAAAATATTTCTTCTTTTAGATACATCTGTTTTAACAGGTAACGTGGACCTGTGAAATTTAAAGACTGTCTTCGTTGACGGAGGTACGCCCATTCTTTTTACTATCTTAAACACATCACTCATTGGGTCAAGGGTAAAGAGAGTGCGATAAATCGGTATTGGAAAATGGCTATCCGTAACACCTACTGAGGATGCTTTTTGCGAGGCACTAAACAAATATTTTAATGAAAAGCGTGCTTGAGAAAGGCGAACGTATCAGCCGCCTCCCTCGGAAAGCCTCGAGGTCTGTCTTGAAACGTCTGGCCACTTGAAACAATCAAATAGTGTAAACGTTCAGCAAGGTGTAATTGTGCACTTTTCAGAAAAGCATGGTTCACATTTCTAAAGAAAAAGAAAATCGGAGTACTAGTCGGCGGAAAAAAAATATTATTTATTCCAAAACCCCCTTGTCCAAGAGGAAGGAAAAGATTATCCCTTCTCAGTAATTCCAAAGTTAAAAACTATAAGAATGTGGCAAAAAAGAAAATAGTTTTTGTATATTTGTCGGAGCACAATAAAACACCACATGCATAAGTTTCGAAGCGAGGAATATGTTGCAAATGGTGGTTTTCTAAAAATAAAAATGTCATTTCCTTTCCACGCATCTGATTTTTTTTAAGTGGTTGTCGTTGGTGTTCAGTAAGATATTCTATTACGGATATGTGACGATTCCGTGTCACTAGTTGTGCGCAGTGCAGGCGGAGGTGACGCCAGGTGAACAGGGAAAGGCCGAACACTAGGAAGGCGGGCCGGGAGAGGAGGGAATCAAAATAATAAGTTGGGCTAGTTGGTTTTCCATCTTAACTGAACGCTTAAAAAACAAGCGCGAGAGGAAGAAGAGACAACACGTTAGCGTACTCGCAACTGAAAGTTTAATTTGAAAAACACACTTCTACACGGTTCGTAAGACACCCACGTCATTACCCTAGCCCCTACTCTTTCGGCAAAAATACAAATTCCTCATCAAGAAGGTCAAATGACGGCGCGTTGAAACGCTTGATGTCCACCGATTAGTTCCTCCATAATTAGCTCTAACATTTTGTTTAATACTTTAGAAATATTTTGTAACCCACGTTGCAGAGGTAGATGTTCCACCTTTTTAAGCATTTTCCCGTGTGTTTTGATGTTGACACTGAAACGGTATGCCCAAGATGAAAAAAGAGGGAGGGTTCTTTGGACTTCGAAAAACTTCAAGTGGTAGAGAACATAATTTATTTCAATATGCTTTTTTTTTTGTAAAATGCTGCATTATGTCATTAGCCTTTAGGCCCAGGTGCCTTACCGTTTGTAAGCGAGTCTACAGCGGCTTTTATTTCATTAAAGGTTATCGAGCCTTCGTAAAGTGTGATGTTCACTTCTCGGTTCAGTCTCCAAATACTCCATTCCAGGACACAGCCGTTTCTCGCGGCCGACGTTTCGCACGGTTCCGAAGGCCTGCAGAGCCTTAAAGATGCGTCGGTCACCCATATGATCCGGCAGCCAATGAAGCTTCATTTTGATGTCACGGATATCTGGGTCAATTACGATGCCTTTCACGAGAAGCTCGCCTCGCTGACACAGCTTCCCCGTCGCGAGCGCGTTTGTGAATGTGATAGTCCAAACGTGACTAATTGCCCTGTTGCCTTCACATCGCGGAGGTCCATAACCTCTTTGACGGCGTCTCGAAACTCTAGGGCCGTGTAGCGCAGCTGAAGTCGGCGTGGAGAAAACCAAAGTTCAATATCAGGTTGCCGGTTGGAAAACGTGGAAGAATTATATTGTAGTCAGAAGTACTGTTGCCAGAAGATACGGGACTCGGACAGTGGCCGATGCGCTGTTTCCAGCAGAAATTATGTTCGACGTGGCCGTTTCGAACGGCGTTTCCTTTCGAACTCCGAGCTATGCCATAGTTTTAACAACCCGTTTTATACTTAGGGTTTTCGTAGTACCCGATCACAACTGCGCTTGCTCTCTGGAAAAATAAAAATAGCCGATGACGAAATGCCGTTGTAGGAATGTCAATATTAAGAGCTTCTGCCGGGAAACGGGCTTCCATGCGCTCCGGAAAAAAAACAAGAAAAAAAAAAAAGAAACCAAAGCGTTAGGAACAAAATGGTCGGATGTCTATTTTGTTCCCAACGCATTTGTTGTGAACGCGATGCCGATGCCCAACGACTTTGCCGTGACGTGTCGCAGTTATAGCCGTGACTTTACTGTAGATTAACACAGGAGTGCTCTGTTTTTTAGAGTGCAGCTCTTAGGCGCCAGTTTCCGGCTTGACCGGCGACGCCGTCGCCGTAGGCGTAACCGCGCGGTGCATTTTGGGAAATGTTCCATAATGCACCGCACGGGTCCCTCGTGACGTCACGTATGTCGTCACGAGGGTTCCGCGTGGTGCATTATGGGACATTTCCCATGATGCACCGCGCGGAAAGGAGGGGGAGGGGGAGGAGGGGGAAGCGTCTGTCGTCTGCAAGCACTTTAAGCTTTCCTCTGCCCCTTCGCAAGTTATCCTTTTCGCCTGGCGACCACTCGCGCATGCGCAGTTTCTCTTATTCTGCCCAGGAAACGTCCGCCATTAAATTGCAAACGCTCTCCATGGTATGAGTTGCTCCTTCTCTTAATTCTAAGCACCCTGGAAAATGGTGGCGCAGCTGGCGCCATCTCCTGAAAACGCATCTCCTGGAGAAAAGAAAAGAGAAAAAATCGTAAGGTTTTTTTCTTCTTTTTTTATGAACAAAAAAAAAAAGAAAATTGGTGAATTTAATTACGACAAAATGTACATTATACCATCTGTAAGGGAGGTATTATTATAGTAAAATGCAACATACTCGACATGCACCCATGTTTACGAGCAGTCCTAAACGCCGTATTGGTTAGCTTGAACTTGTGTAGAGAGGGGAAGAGAAAAAACTAGCTGACTATCTGCTTGCCCTAATAAAAAACATCGTATTTTTTTGTCTTTTTAGGTTTTTTTTTTTTTTTTTAATCTTTAGAGGTCGTATTAATATTCTAAGTGTGTACCAACTAGCTCAATTAAAGCCCTTAAGTCATAACGCCGCATCTCACCCTTCGGGCCCTCAAACTTAGAAAGAAACTTGATTACTTCAGTCATATACAGCGATGGTAAAAGTCAGTCATTAAAAGGATGCTCAACCGAAATTTTGGGTGGAAAACGTTGTTTTGAGCGAGAAGGCGTATAAAATTGAATAAACACGAAAATTGCAATTTTACGCGACCCCTGGTGAGCGTTGTGGAAAGCTCGCTTCGTGACGTGCGCATTCTCATTCGCCTCAAAAGACAGACGGAGCCAAGCCGAGCCAGGCGCTAAGCCGGGTGGCGTTTGTTATTGTTCGTACTAGTACCAGCCGCTTTGAGAACAGCCGCCGAGCGAAGAGTCAAGGCGAGCACCAACGAACCAGGAGAATGCGCGCAGGCACCAGGGGCGCTGAGGGCGCCGAGAACGCGCACGTCAGTTCCGCTACGCCTGCTCTCAGAAGGGCTCGCTCGCGCCGGCGGCTTCCGGCCGATAATTCGCTCTTACTTCAAAGAAATACAATAATTCGGGCCCCATCCGTCTGATTGAATATCGTTTTTAGGTACAGTACCATCCCGTGAAGCCCGCTCGGGCAATAATTATGAGATTTCGTATGCTCGGGCAATAAGTATGAGGCTCGCCCATGCGCAGCGTGCTCGAACATGCCTTTTGTAGACGTTATCATGAGTACCATAAAGCTGACTGCGCGGTCCGAAATTGTCTTTACGTCATGTTAAAAAAAAAATATTACTGGCTGCAAAACAAAAATATTAAAGTTTACGAAAAAGGGGATTTACAAAATTCCATGTTGTGTTCACTGCCACTTCACCGCAACATGAAACTAGCAATAGAGAGTTATTGGCTCGTCTGTCTCTTTTACAATTTCTTTTATGGTAAGAGCGCGTGTTTGCATGTTCGATTGGGTCACAGTTCCAG